AAGCTTAGCTGCATAGTAGGTAAATGTAGATAAACAAATACATGGAATTAAAAGAAGATTTCTTTTAATTGTAACCATCCCAAGAATGATATGCTTATCAAAGGTAATTATTTCATGACGGCTTGGTTATAGCAGTTGTATTATCCTGAAATGAAAGTCCATGTTGGGTGCTTTTGATTGGGAAGACGGTCATATCAAATTAGTTCAAATTAGATTTTTGTCTTTAGAAAGGTGAGCAAAGCCATGAACAGTGTTATTAAATTGTGTGTTCTACCCTATAAATGATCCAGCCCTCTTGAGGGTTAAAGAAGTGATTATTCTGTCCTTTATGCTGATGGCTTCACTACCGATTAGCCTAGTGTTGGGGTTTTTTTTTGTTTTGTTTAAATGCTTGGCTCCTTATGATCTTTTGTGTATGCAATGATAATATTAATGCAGAGTCGTAAGCCCATTCATTAAGAAATGACTCTAAAATGAGGTTGCTTCGTGTAAATTTGGAGAGCTGCAGATGCTGTGTACAGACGTTTCTTCATGCTATTAGCCGTATGGCTAATAATTTCCAAGTGGCTAAAGCTCTTGTTAGCAAGAGTGCTGGGGTATTAAGAATGGCTCTATAAATAACTTTAAGAAGGGAAGTTGAAGGTGCTTCTTTTTAAAGACTATTGTTAACTAAATATTATTGCCAAACAGATGGAAAGCATTCACCAGCCTGATGTTTTTACTCTAATTATATTATCTCCAGTCCTGTACGGCTCAGTTGAAGAGGTGTATCCAGGGGCCAATTTATAATCATTTAACCAACACCTGTTTGGGAAAAATTGACAGTCAAAGGGCACATTAAAAAAAAAATCACATATGTTCTTGTATTTACTACCTCAATGTGAATGTTAGCTATCTGCAAATAAACTTGGTTGAAAAGACAAAGTCCCTAGGAAAATTGACACATCTTTTTAAACCATTTTTATCTATTTTAATTTGGCATGTCTTCCACCCCATGTCTTGTGACTAAAGAGGGAAACTACAACTCAATTGTCTTCTTATGATTTATCATCAGTTCCTAGTCCATTTTTAAATTGCCTTTAGTTACTGTCTTGATGAAAATTTCTCAACTTATGACATAAACACATGTTTAAAACATGCTTTTTTTCCTTGGCCAGGCGTAAATTCATATTTATAATAGGCAGCATTATTACAGAAATATTTCTTAATTCTACATATGTGTGCAGCCCAGGGCTGGGATTCAGCTGGTTCAGACTGGTTTGAGCGTATCGGTAGCTCTGATGATCAGCTGGGAGTGAACCGGTTTGCTCCAATGATCAGGTGGGCCTGCCTGCCCGCCCTGCGCATTTTACTTACCTTTATCCTCTCAGTTGATTCATGTGGCAGAGCGGAGTGCCGTGCCTCAGTTGTGTTAGTCCCCAGAAGTAACGCAGAAGTTTAACTTTGTCAAAACTGTGTATGTGTGCGCAGCGTGTGTCAGGTGTGGTTGTGCGCGAAACACATAATCACCGAACCGGTTGTTAAACCAGCAGGATCCCATCACTGATGTAGCCAGATGTGTGTGTGCAATTCCGCACGTGTCTGTGTGTAATATACATATATTGGTTTGAAGATCAGATACGCCTTTGTCATTCTGCTAAGTGTAAACACACAAGACCTGCTCTGTAAGTGAGATGGGTGGTTTACAAATTTGATAAATAAATAAGCGAATTAAGAAACTCATGTTCAGAGCTAATTGTGATTTTTTTCCTGTGATGAGTTTATATTACAGGTACTCAGAAAATACAAGCCTAGGTTAGATTTTATCACTCTTTGGTCCTATTCCACAGTATGCTTCACCTCTGATCTAGTCAGATATCCTTAGCAATGTTCTGGCAACACATTGTAATCAGATCAGAAACCGCTGTTAGGGGTACTGTACTTCCTGGAGCAGCGTGGTAGACTCTTCTCTATTGCTCACATACAGGCAGCACTAGGAGCAGCTTGGTCATTGTAGCTAATCAGTGTTTTGAAAGAAACTAGGCATACAAGATCTATGCTGCAAAACATCCACTGTTTACTGTACTGATTTTTATTGCTGCCGCTTAGTGGTTGAATAGATTTTTGCCGACCACATATATTAACTTTAGAGATTAATTCTGGGCTGTCAGGTATCAGAGGGAATTCTGTAATAAAATAGCTAGCTCTGGTTTGGGTTATTTTTAATCCCTTGGAAGTACCAAAAGTGCTTTTTCAGAGGCAACTGGACTTTCTTGTTTTTCTTTCAAGACGTTTTGCTTCTCATCCAAGAAGCTTCTTCAGCTTTGATTGGATGGTGGGGAATAGAAGGGTTTATACTCCTTGCAGACAGCTGGTCATTTAGAGGATTGTTGAAGCCCTTGTAGGTTTATCTGTGTCCTCAGGGTCACCTGAGTAGTGCTAATGGTTCCTGTAATCTGCAATTTTTCTCTGGAAATCCATTCTTATTCCCACACCACTCAAAGGGTGTTCATATCAAATTGCATAGCTAAAAGTCTGTAGAGATTCTCAGTCATCCAGGTCAGCGTTGTCCCAAAGGTGCTTTTTCAGGAGGCAACTGGACTTTCCTGTTTTTCTTTGAAGAGCCTGAGGTTACAAATAAAGTGCTTCAACAACCAAAGGATGCAAATGACCAGCTGTCTGCAAGGAGTATAAACTCTTCCATTCCCCACCATCCAGTCAGAGCTGAAAAAGCTTCTTGGATGAGAAGTGCAATGTCTTCAAAGAAAAACAAGAAAGTCTAGTTGTCTCCTGAAAAAACACCTCTGGGACAGCCATGACCCGGACCCTTGTCATTGATCCCATAAAATACATTGGGGGAGCAGTATCGATCACTTATCATTATCTCAGTGTGTGTTAAATTAAATCAGAGCATTAGAAATGAGAAATACTTATGTTGGCTGGGCTGATTTGAGGTAAGAACGGCTGATTCTACATCCCAGTTCCAAGCATGATACAATTGCTGTGTGAGGAGAAATGTGGGGCTAAGGGTGTTCCCAAGTTATACAGTATGTCCTTCACATATAAGGCAGTTGTAGACAAACACTTTTGCATTGTGCATTGATGGCTTCACTGTGTGAACTAGGTAAAGTGGAGCCTACAACCAAGCAGGGCAAGTGCTAAAAAGAAAAACAATGCTGGCTTAATTGCCAGAGAAACTTTAGGTGGTTTGTAAAGATACAATAACAGTTTAAAATAGCAAACAAAAACCACCCACCTTGGGAAGCAATAATACAAACAATACACATCAGCAGGCTTATAAATTGTCTTTTAATGGGGATTGTTGATAAAAGCTAGATCTTAAAAACTTTCTTAAATGTCCACATGGTCAGAATCATAAGGGCTTTGGGGGGAGTGGTCCAGAGGGCAAGCATAGCCTCAGGGAAAACCTGTTTCCAAGATCCTGCAAGATGCCATTGCTTTGCGCATGTGACTGGAGCATGCTGATCCTGCCAGATCTCAGTGGACAGGCAGAAGCAATCCTAGTCCTGCTAGTGTCTAGGCCCCACGATGGGAAGAGTTCTTTAGGACAGTGTTTCTCAACCGTAGCAACTTTCAGATACATGGATCTCAACTCGGAGAATTCCCAGTCAGCAATTCTTGGAGTAAAGTTCACACATCTGAAAGTTGCCAAGGTTGAAAAGTACTGCTCTAGGAGACAACCAACACACTGAATTATATCTGAAACCCAACTAATAACTAGTACAGCTCATGCAGTAAAGGTATCAGGTGGATGAAATGAGATATATACCTATGTAAGTACTTGCTTATTGCATTCAGGACTATTTAAAGCAGGCGTGTGCAACCCATGACCCATGGCCTGCATGTGGCCCTGGACAGCTAGTAATGCGGTCCCACGAGATTGTAAACTTTTAACACTATTGTGTGATTTCTATACAGTGCATTAGCTATATTATATATTTTATATACAGCCCAAAACAATTCCTCTTCACTCAGTGCAGCCCAGGCAAGCCAAAAGGTTGGACACCCATGAATTAAAGCTTCCGCATGGTTTTAAAGGGAAGCCCCATGTCGAGTATATTGCATGTAGTAGCTCAAATGAGAGCTACCTAAAGTATGATTGACTATGAATAGGTCTTCCCAATTGATAAATGAGCATAAATGCACCAGATTGTGCAAAGAATCTTGGAGGCTGCCACTTGCTCATTGTCTTTCTAAGAATGAATCTAAGCCTATTCCACCTCAGTCAGACTCCGTTAGACTCCAGACATTGGGACAGGATTTTGACTAGGAAGCATGGTTAGCTCTTGACCATGAATTAATTTAAGCTGTTCTAGAGACAAGTAAGTTGACAGTTCTCACTGCATCTTGTTTACATTTATAAGTTCTGCATGAAGTGGGTCAGTATAAGAAACTTCAGTGCTGCTTGCTGTGCCTTACAGAACAGTACATACCACTTTGATTCTGGTGCGGTATGTAAATTGGATCCAAAAAATAGGAATAGATAGCAAACATTGAGGGCTTTCATGCATTTTTTCCTAAATTGACTAAGTTTACGAGATTTGTCAATGAACTGTTCTTGGAACTGCATACATTTGCAGGTGAAAATAATTTTGAAGGTAAAAAAACTCATTTATTTTCATGTCATCCTTTTGTTTTTAAATAACGTAGCAAATGTGCTATTGTATGCGATTACAAGGATGGCCATACCTTTTCTGCCTGCCATTTTTAATACCTATAAGTATTTCATTAAAAATAATTAACTGCTTAAAATATGCTTCTACTAATTAGAGATAGATTTTTAATTGACAGTATTACTGATTTACTTTTAAATAATCAGTCTAATTGATTCATTGATTAAGTATTGCAGCTATCACATCTCATAAAAAAGAAATTGTTATCTATATTCCTCCTGTCAAGTCCGTTTTTGAGACTTATATTTCTCATCATTAGGAAATATTAATACCAATAACTTAAAGTTCCAACAGATTGGATTAATTTCAATTACTTCTTCCATTTAGGTTTTGCTTGTAATGGATACTAGGACACAACAGACATATATATTGAAGGTAAGTCATTATTTTTTCTAAATCATTCACTTTGCCAATGGCGACCGGTTTCCCACTGCTTACAGTTCAGCCCACAAAATCCAGGATGCAAAATGTCATCAGTCAGGTTTATGGAGTTTGTGTTTTATTTGTTAATCTTCAGTGGCAGGTTACAGAACTAATAAATGGTTTCTGCTATTGGCAACACTTATTTCTGCTTTGACCATCAAAGGAAAGGGAATTGTTACAGTCAGTGTCCCATGGCATAATTTACATTTTCTTCACTGAAATATCTAGGTCAGTTCAATAGTGGAAGTAGTAAATATTGACATTAAAGTAATTCTTCACTCTCTCCCAGCACTTGTAGTGCTTAGTTTGCCATGATTCATGTTTACAATGACGGAGAGAGGTTAATTCAGGGGCCATTACTGTACTCATTTATGGGGTTTTGTACATAGTTGTTGTTTTCCTTTGTTTCCCCAGCCCACCTTATTTTGCTTTCTTAGTATTCCTCACTGTTGGCCATGTTGGCTGAGACTACTATAAGTTGTGGTACTATAATATCTGGGAGATCACTCCCCATCTATCGGATATATCACAAAGCTCTCCCCCTTCCTGATGCCTTTGCCCATATGTTGGGGCTTCCACTGCTTTAGAGTTTACTATTCCTATTCATCTAATACTTTTCCACTTGAAGAAGCCTTTGTTTCATTTGCAAATTTGGAAGCGGCATGAAGATGACAAGGCCAGCCATAAACAATGTATGAGATGAGACAATGACAATCCCGCATTTCTTTCTCCATTTCCTAATATCATCTAATAAAGCTGAATGAGCACGGTTAGGTCACTAAACAAAGCGGAGGGTTAGCTGGAACATTTGCATAGTAGTAATGCATATTTTTATTTTATTGCATTGTTTTATTACATTCCTCCTCTTGACATTGCCAAGAGATGAAGAGAATCAGGGCTGGAGTTTTTTTCCCCCAGCAATAGCTGGAGGTTATGTGAAAACTAATTGTGATCTTCGGTAATTCAGCCACGCTTTATTTATCTGCAGAGCTTTTTTCATAAGGTTTTTTTGTGTGCCATCTTTAAAAATCTATAACACCTTCAGGAAACAAATCACATTACCAGTCTATCTTCCCTTCGACCCAATGGAAATGTATGCAGACTCGAGTCCATCAAATTGAAGGTGGGGCAAGACTTGCCTTTGGAATGTGAATGGATTTAGCAGTTTGCTTTGATCCTTAAAGCACGGTCCCTGCCCTCCCTGCCCCTCCCCACAAGAGATATCTGGGGGAAAAAGGTCATAGAGAAATAACTGAGTGTCATTCTGATGACTTGGTTTGTGAGAGATTCTAATGAAAACATTGACCCATGTAATTGATTTTAATGGCAGCTTTGTGCCATCTTCTGTTCTCTGGATATGCGCCAGATGCCATCAGCAGGGCCTCAGGGGACTGAGGGGCACAGAACAGCAGATGAGTGGTTTCTCTGAAGCCTGGAGTAACTTGGATAGATTAGTTTGGTTGATAAGCACAGAGCACAGCATGCTCCAAAGGCAACTGAGGGTACAACTGACCTTTCTGTTCTCTGTCAGGGTCTAAGAAAAAGTAGCGAATGCAGCAGGAAGAGAAAGACCATCATCCCCCGCAGTGTGCCCAACATGGTGGCTTTGCACAAGTACATCATCTCAGAGGAATCAGTCTTCCTTGTGCTGCATCATGCAGAAGGTTGGTCTGTGGATTCAGATGAGCTGTGGGAAGGAGAGGGGAGGCAGGGGAGATGGGGGGGGGGAAAGAAAGCATCAGTTCCTTCAGGTGATACCATCCAGATGTTAGAAGTTTATCTTTTGAATCAAAATTTTGGGGATTGTCTTAAACACTGCAGCAAAGGGTGTTGAGGCATACATGCTCTTTGTTATGCTACATTATTGCTTTTTACAGTTTACATCCTATTAAAGTTCTTGTAGCTCCACCGTTCAGCAAAGCAGCTGCCTTCCCCTTTGGATCTAAAGCTTTAGGTTACACAGGCCAAACACTTCCTTAAGGTGCTTTGTGAGTAAAACACTGAGGTAAATATTAATCCCATGCCCTGATAGGCTGGTCTGTTTATTCTGTTTGCAAATCCTTTCTGCTTCAAATCATCATTCCGTATGATGCTCTTAGAACAAGTGACAACTGTAGGGAAATTGTCTTTAAAAAGGAGCCTATCTGGCTGAATCTTGGTTGTTGCTACAGTGGACATGATCCAGATGGAAAAAGATGTTTGTATGGCTTCTGTATGTGTCAGGCAGAAACTCCACTGGTGTTTGTGAATGCATATTGCCAAATCCATAGACCCAGCCTGTACATGAGGGGCAGCAATGGTCCACTAAGGTACTGTTTTCTTCAGTGAGACCTATGGGTCACGCATCTACATGGCAAGCATGTTCAAAGAGGTGGAACTTCGATTGTGGAGTTTCAGACTAACCAAATAGTTTCTCAGGAAAAGGTGAGAAATGTTCCAAAAGGGCTTTGCTTGCACTGAAGTAAACAATATGAATTGAAGAGAGAAGCCTATTCATTGTCACCAGTTTCTTTTCAATGCCTCCCTGCAGATGCTGCTGGTTTACTTTTTTAACAAAACAATATCTATTTTGTAAGGATAATTTGCCTATTTGGGCTCAGTGGGAATATTGAGACAAATTCCTTGGCCTGGGTTATATAAACATTGATTTACCTATAGGCAAAAAACCCCAACTCCTTTGCCTGTGTGCAGTCACATGTTAAAAAAATCACCATGAATGGAATTAAGCCTAGTTTTGGCTAGTAATAGCTTCTGGAGTGATCTCCAGTGCTATTTCTAATTTTGGGAACTATGTTTACACGATACAGTTGACTCACTCAGTAGCCACTTCATGTAAATACAGTGGTGAGTTGGTGGCAGATTCTCAGAATTTGACAGGCCTCCAGTACCTCAGAAGTTTTTGAGAGGTTGTTGTTTCCTGCTGCCTTTTATTTTAAAAAATGCATTTGTTTAAAATACATAGTGGCCCTATTAGGATGGGCATTGGAACTTGCCTGCTCTTTGGCACTAGCATGCCAGTAAAGTGATGTTACTTATGCCACTGCAACTAAAGCCAGTATTTAAATTTTTAAGGTACCAACTTACCATGGTGAGCTTTACCTCCACGCTTATTTACAGAATTACCATCTGGAAAAAAATTATATATGGGTAGGAGATAGAGAAGCTTCAATTACATGTCAAACAACTGTAGATTAATTCCTTCTACTTTCATCCATCCCTCAGTCTTTTCACAATTGCAGAAAGTATCCGTTCAGTCTAAATATTAAATTGGATTTATAGGATCTAAAAAGTTAACATCTTCATTGAAAATAAGGATCAGTAATGAAAAGTTTTCCTCTTTTTTCCAAGCATTAGTACTGAATCCAGTGCAAGCCTCCTCCACATTACAATGTAGTAAATGGTTTGTTAAAGGTGAGAACATTCATAAAGCATCTGTTAGTTTTGTCACAAAGCACTTGGCAAGACATGTTGAAGCTTCACTACTACTTAGTGGCATCAGTGCCAGAAATGGTAAAAACAGATGCTTCAAAGAGAGTCTTCAGGGACATTGAGGGAAGATTTTGATGGAGATCAAACTTAAACTTGAGTGGCTGCTGGGAAGTGTCAAATCTTTTTCAGCATAAATGTGTTGGAATTCATATTCATCTGGAAAGCGCACAAGAAACTTTGAAATGATGATGTTTCCTGTTAATGAACACTAATTCTATAGCAGGCAATGTTTAGTAGCCCTCCTCCCTGAGCCTTAATGATCATATGTTGCCCTAAGAGCAGGAAACAGAGAACTATTCCCTATTCTAATTTTGTCAATGCTATAATTCTTTAGTATTTAAATTCTGAGTCAAATTCTGAGTCAGGAAAGGTAGCCCAACTTCTTTTCCGTGGTTCCCAGAAGGCACCCCAGATTATGTCACTAAAACCTGGCAGCAAGGTCATTTAAACATAAACAGTACAGTAAGTATGTTAAACCTCCACATAGGCTTCACACAGCTGTTCTATCAAAAAGCTGCCACCAATAGTACTAACCTCAAATTTCCTCGCAGTCATTAAAAAGTGCTTTGTCATTCCCCTATTCTTAAAACCTACAGTGCCAAAAATTTTGCCTACTTTCCCAACCCAACCATAGTTGAAACAATGGTTTACCTCCATCAGAATTTTGGCAACTTTTGTTTTGGTGTGCTAAGCGTTCTATCACATGCTCTGTGTGCCAGTCAAATTTCTCTTTATGCATGATGTTGGACATATGGCACTGGCCTGGGCCATTCCATGTTTTTTATCAATAATTTGGATGAAAGAGTTGGGATGCTTAGAAAGTTGAAGATGACATAACATTGGGAGGGACAGCTAATACTTTAGATCAGGTGTTGGCAAATTTTTTGTAAAGAGCCAGATCCCGCCCCATCTCTGTGAATGCAACTGGCTGGTCTATCGGCAAAGGGCCACCAGCTGGGAAATTGCTGATAAGCTGCTGCTGTTTCCCAGAATGCCACACCCCTACCTTTGGTCCTGCCCATCACCTTGGCAGTTTGACTAAGGCTCAACCCTAGCAATTAGTTGTCCACCCATCTTACTCATGGGTTGGAATATCCCATGCTTTGCATACCTGGGACCTCATGTATGTCACCAAACAATACTAGATTAAGATCTAGGGTTTGGAGGATGAAAGTGCCAAGAAGTGTCAGCCTCAGTTTTTCATTTGTAAATAGAAATCGAATCTTCACAGATGGGTTGTGATGTTGAAATTAAATAAAGCAAGCTTGAGAACCACATGGAAAGAAGCATACCTCAAACTGATTCTTGTTAGAAATGTTATTGTAAAAGAATACAGATATTTGAAAGGTAAGATTTATGGAAACTCTCTTGAATCAATTGATTTCCCCCTCTCTAAATATGGGTAATTTTACATGGTAATGGATGGCCAATAATCAAATACATTGGCTAATGCATTTACTCAGTCTTAGCTACAGCAGTATAAGATGAAAAAGATTATTAGTGTGTCATTTATAAAGACCTAATAATATACCCAGATGAAAATATTGCTCCTCTGTGACCTAAATTGGACATTTGGAAAAAAAAAGAATAGTATTGTTGATTCCCCCTTTCAATATGTAAAACGATTAAAAAACATTTATTTGCATATTTACATTTTATTGCTATTGTGTGCATACATACACGAAAGAATACTTGAATTTTGATGATTATTCGTGGTTTACAACAGCGGTCCCCAACCTTTCCAGCTCTGTGGACTGGTGGTGGCGGCAGCAGGGAGGAGAGGGAATTGTTTTGCGCGTGTGCTGCTTACGCAAATGCAACTTTGCAATCTCACGCACTTATCTACCACTTGCATGGCCTGGTTCCTAACAAACCGTAGACTGGCAGCGGGCCACAGACTGGGAATTGGGGACCCCTGGTTTACATCAAGCTATGTACCATATACCAGTGAATGTTTCTTTTAGTTAAACATGGTTGTCAAACTGGATCGCGTCACAAGCCGATCGTGACGTATCGCGATGTTTTTTGCCTTTGCAGAGCTGGGGTGAGCGTGGCCTGCACGTGACATATTGGGCCCACGGGCCATCAGTTTGACAGGCCCGAGTGACAATGTTAATGTTTGCAAATAGTTGTATGAGCACCTTCTCAAACTTTGGAGGATGCTGATAAAATAATGGCAGGCTTCAGAAAGCATGTCAAACTTGGAGCTTAGAAATAGAAGACAGTCTATTTCTTTATACACATACACATAGGCAGTACCAGGAGTGAAATCCAGCAGGTTCTGACAGGTTCTGGAGAACCGGTAGCGGAAATTTTGAGTAGTTCAGAGAACCAGCAAATACTACCTCTGGCTGGCCCCAGAGTGGGGTGGGAATGGAGATTTTCCAATATCCTTTCCTTGCCACACCCACCAAACCTACCAAGCCATGCCCACAGAACCAGTAGTTAAAAAATTTGAATTTCACCACTGGGCAGAACATATACATATTTGTGCTTTCTAGTCAGTGTTGACTCCTGGCAGCTGCCTGTTCTAATCCCTGCAGTTTTTCTGGCAGCAGTTTTAAAAGTGGTTTGCTATAGCCTCCTTTCTAGAGCTGAGAGGGAGAGAGTGAGTGATTGGCCCAAAATCACCTAGATCAGGGTGGGCAAATATGGCCCCTTTATGACCTGTGGACTTCAACTCAGGAATTCTGGGAGTTGAAGTCCACAGGTTGTAAAAGGGCCACAGTTGCCTACCCCTGACCTAGATGACTTCACACCTAAGGTGGGATTAGAATTCATGATATTATAGTTTCTAGCCTGTTACCTTAACCACTACACCAAAGTGATTCTCAGTAGAAATACATTTATAATGGTAATAATTTATCAAGCACAATCACTTTATGGAACGAAAAATAGTTCCCTTACCTCCAGGAACTTAAAACCTAATTTTAGGTTGGGTGGGACAGTAAAAAAGATTGCTATTTTAAAAAGGGAGTATGGAAAGAAAAGGCCAGAATAAACAACAGCTGGATAAAAACAGATGTAACTGCAAGGTAGAACTTTGTTATTTATTGGTGTAAGTCTCATAGTTCAGTTATAAACACAGCCCTAGCTTTAAGCCCTAGCTCTTTTATTATTGTACCATAAGAATTTCAAAAGAGCTGAGTTTTAAATGGAACCACCACCATTTTAGGCTCATTCTGTATGTCAAAGCACAGTGCTAGATTTTATGGACCTTGGGTCTTATCCAGTCAGCTCTTCTTATGTCTTAGCTGCTTAAAACCTATTTGATAAATATGTGTGCCTGCATCTGTGAGCTGAAAGAAGTTCAGATGAAATGGAGTTCATGTCTAGTTTAATGCTTTTAGCTATTTCTATGGGGTTTAAAAAAGTTTTTTATGCTATCTAGAATGCATTAAAGTTGGATGGCCAATAAATTTAAATAAATGTCACATTTTTAATTTTAGTAATTTATTAGCAACAAACAAGGCTCCCATTGGCTTCCATTTTGAGTTCCACTTCAAGCTCATAGTTTACTTAAAATATATGGTAGATCTAAATTGAGGTGATAGTCAGCTGACCTATGGCCTCAGGATATTGACAGGTACTTGCAGCAATGTGATTGATAAACAATATTTAGTGATCTTTATCGGCTATGGATGTCCTTCCTGCCATGGTGCTTATATGTGAATGTGATACAGAGATGAGGGGATTGAAACTGGTATCCAATGGAGGATTATTTTTCTTTTTATAATTGGGGGAGGGCTAGAGAGGAAAAAAAAGCAGCAAGATCCCCACAAAACTATTATTATGGTTCATTGCGCAGTCAGCCAGATGTTCAGACTGGATTTGGCATTTTTATCCACCTACAGTAGTGGCCAAAACTGTGGAAACCTTTCATTTAGTGAGCTTGTAAAACATAATAAAATTAAAGTAATGGTGCAAAGAGTTGACTGGTCGCCCAGAAAGCGATGTAAAATAGTATTATTAAGTGAACAAGACTACAGTTATAAAGAAATTAGAAGAAAAATTGGTGGAAACTTAACCAAAGGTGGCATTTCTAAGTTTTTGAAGAGGTATAAGGAGACTCAGTCACTACAAAACCACAATGGTAAAGGCAGGAAAAGGTGCACAATAGCAAGTGATGATAGAAGAATTAAGAGACTGTGCCTATGTGACAAAAGAAAATCATCTGGGTGTATACAAGATGAAATGGTGCAATGTAATGTGAAGATGAGTACAAGGACTGTTCGGCGCAGACTGCAGGAATTTGACCTAAAATCTAAAATTCCATGAAAAAAGCCACTTTTATCTCTCAAAGAAAGATTGAAAACCATTACATTCTTGATTAAAGTATCTTTCCATTGATATATAATTTTATGGTACTACTCCAAAAAAAGTGGTGTTATTAGCCATCAAGCCTCAAAAATACACTTTCCCTAAAAGATTTCCACAATTTTGACCACTACTGTATCCAGTCCTTCCCAAGAATCTGGGATAGGCACAGTGGTGAAATGGAGCTGGTTCAATCCGGCTCGGGCGAACTGGTAGCGCCGGTGGCAGAAGCCTCCGCCCACCCGCCCAGATGTCATCACGTCCGTTTTTGACCCTCTCCGCATGCACAGTAGGCTCAGCGCATGCCTGGAGGAGGCGCGGGGGCTCACATTTGCAAACTGGTAGCAAAGGTAAGTGGATTTTACCCCTGGATAAGCAGATGTTGTTGTCTGAAGGTGTTAAAGGTATCACTGCAGGATGTAAGCTGTTCCAAATAAAGCTGCCTTTTGCAATTGACTGATGGTGATTTTGTCAACGCTGATGATGTTCAAGTGATATTCCAGTTGTTTTGAGATTGCACCCAAGGAATCTATTACTATTGGCACTATCTTTACTTTTTTTTGCCATAGTCATTCTATGTCTATTTGCAGGGTTTATATTTTGTGATTTTTTTTAAAAATTTTTTTTGCTTTAATTTATATGCCGCCCTTCTCCGGAGACTCAGGGCGGCTTACAATGCGTTAAGCAATAGCCTTCATACTTTTGTATATTTATACAAAGTCAGCTTATTGCCCCCACAATCTGGGTCCTCATTTCACCTACCTTTGAAAGGATGGAAGGCTGAGTCAACCTTGAGCCTGGTGAGATTTGAACTTGCAGTAATTGCAAGCAGCAGATGTTAATCTGTTAATAACAGTGCTTTAGTCCACTGTACTACAGGCTCTTTTCTTCATTTTTTTTCCTTCACTTTCTTTTCTCTTCTACTGTGCTTCCTCCAGGTACTGCCACATCCACTATCCAGATCTTTTTGTCTTATCAACAGTTGTTAAGTCTGGGGTGTAAAGTGGCAGATACTTGTTTGAATTCCAAAATCTTAGATCATTTTACCTTCTTCATTTTCTATTACTGTATTGTTATTTTATAAACAAGAATGTGAAATAAGAGCTGCCTATTCTTTAGCAGATATTGGCCTTTATATGTGTCGAATTCTTCCTAAGAATTTAGAAGGTTGTAGCTGATCAGCATAATATATGTTGGATGGACATTTTGTCAATGGGCAGATTTTCTAAGTGCTGTCCAAGTCTTTTTGGTATGGCAAAATGATAACCACCCTGACTAGATTATGCCATAATCTTTCAACTTTGACTTTCAGCTCTCGATTTGGGCATTCTGAACACTTTTCAACTTGGTAGATGTGAAATGCATACTTTGTGTTATTTCCTGACTTTTTTCCCCCTGAGGTCATTTGTTACTTTCATTGCAAACCATTTAGAATGTTTAAATATTATTCTGCTGTTGCAGATGATAGATGGTCTAAAAATGCAGAAAAATCCAATCAGTGCTATTATAATGCTAGTACCTAATTGTAACCTGTTAGAGGATAATTGTGGATAGCATCTTCTACTAATGTTAATACTTACCTATAGTTTCACCATCTGCCATAGTTATGCATTAATGAAATACAATTAACTTTGGTTACTTTGTTTTTTCTTACAGGAGGCAAACTTTGGTCCTACATTAGTAAATTCTTGAACAGGAGTCCTGAAGAAAGCTTTGAAGCCCCTAAATCCAGAAAATCCAGCTGTACCAAAATACATTTGCATCAGGCAAGTCCTAGTCCTCAGGATATCAGCAGTAACCTTGGCTCCAGAAGAAATAATGAGGACAATGAATTAAAGGTTTTACCACTGCAGACCAGTCTCACTCCAAGTTCTCAAGATGGTAGTAGTAACCAAGAAGAAGATCAGGAAAGTTCTCCTAAGTGGATTGACTCTGGGTCTAGTTCAGAAGAGGAATGTACCACAAGTTATCTAACATTATGCAATGAATATAGTCAAGAAAAAATTGACCCTGGATCATTAAATGAGGAACCTGTCCTGAAACCAGATGATACGAAAGACCAAAGAGGCCTCCAAGCTCAAGGTGAAGTTGCCACTGGGAACTTGGAATCTGCATTCACATGTCAGGAAATAAAAGAGTTTGCTGACGATGTGGATCCAGAAACTGCCAATCCTACTATGATATCAGAATCATTAAATAAATCCAAGAACAGCCCCATGGAATTTTTCAGAATTGATAGTAAAGATAGCACCAGTGAACTTCTGGGTCTTGATTTTGGAGATAAACTTCATAACTTAAAATCAGAATCTTTCAAGCCATTTTTTCCTACATTAGATCAAGATGAGAGCCTTGAAATCATTGAAAACAAATTAGGCTTTGCATCTCAGGATACTATCAGCAGGGGCTCTAATGACTCTGTGCCTGTGATATCATTTAAGGATGTAGCCTTTGATGAGGTTGGTAGTATTGATGAAGGAAGACCTGACCTTTTGGTCAATTTGCCAGGCATTATGGAGCAAATGAAAGAAGCTCCGGTGGATAGACCAACAAAACTGATGGAACAGAATGGAGACATTTTGGAAAGCAAACTTTTGGAAACCCCCGATGTCTTGCAGTTGAATAACAGTGCAGAACAAAGCAGAGTGCTTGAACAAAAGGTAGAGCGTCTGAAGGAAGAAAAATCACAAGGACTATGCAAAGACAATCAGGAAACAGCTAGGATATTCCATACACCTGCTAGTGACTCAATTGGTTTTGGGGACAGGATGGCCTTTCAAGGACTCGGAGAAGCATCGTCATTAGATATTTTCAGCATAAAGGATAATGTCATAGTTGCCAGTGCACAAGTAGTTGTTACAGAAGACAGCTTAGATGTGGACAGTGAAGCTGTGTTGCTGTTTTCTGATCATACTGAAGAAAACTGTAAAGAGGGAACAGCCCCCTCTTTGTCACACAAAGCAGAAAGCAAAGAGTTGGATGTGAGGAGCAGAGGAGAGAATGAAATACATCATTTTTTTCAGGACTTGGATGAGAGATTAGCACTAACCTCCAGATTTTACCTCCCTGAAGGCTGTGTTCAAAGATGGGCAGCTGAAATGGTGGTAGCCCTTGATGCCTTGCATCGAGAAGGAATTGTGTGCCGTGATTTGAACCCAAACAACATCTTATTGAATGATCGAGGTCAGGAACTTTTGCAAATGCATTTCTTTTTATTCGCTGTTGCTCCCAATTAACTGAGAAGGCGTTTTATCTTGTAATTAGTATCTTCATTTCCTGTCTAGAGCTTCATTATCAGTGCAGCAAATTCACCCCCAGTAATAGCTTCTAGTACTTAATGATGCCATTATTCTTAATGATACTGTTTTTAGCTACAAAAGGAGTAATTACAGTTCACTTCTGCATAAAATGGAAGGGAAAAATGTTTTGATTTCTCCTGTCGTTTTGTTTTTAGGACACATTCAGCTAACGTATTTTAGCAGGTGGAGTGAGGTTGAAGATTCCTGTGACAACGATGCCATAGAGAGAATGTACTGTGCCCCAGGTTAGAGCAATCACCTCAAATGTTTCACTTGGAAAACAGATTAGCAGCTTTCATTTTCTCACGGAACTTTCGTTCTTGGGAATACAAACTGTTCAGTATCTGCTTATATATATATATATACACGCTATTTTGGAATATGATATTCTAAACATATGAAAAATGGTTGCAGGAATTGGGTATGTCTAGTTTAATGAAAAGAAGGACTAGGAGTGGCATGAAGAGGGGGTCAGTCTATTTTCCAAAGCACCTAAGGCAGGGCAAGAAGCAGTGGATGGAAACTAATAAGGAGAGAACCAACCTAGAACTAAGGAGAAATTTCCTGACAGAGCAATTAATCAGTGAAACGAATTCCCTCCAGAAGTTGTGGCTGCTCCAACACTGATGATTTAAAAAAAAAAAACATTGGATAACTATTTGTCTGAAATGGTATAGGATTTCCTGCTTGAGCAGGGGGTTGGACTAGAAGATCTCCAAGGTCCCTTCCCAACTCTGTTATTCTGAATTCTCCAGCAAGCCATGCTAGGGAGTAATTCTGAGAGTTGCAATGTTGACTTCTTAAAGTTGCTAAGGTTGAGAAACACTGGTTTAAAAGAATTCACTATCAAAGTTTAAATTTGAAAAATGAATGATTGAATGAAATGAATGAATAAATAAATAAAGTTAGATGTAATAGATATGCCTAAAGATTTATGAAATCTGCTTAAATATAGAGAGTTCTTGAAACTTTTTATTGTTGAAATGAAGAGGAGTTAAATGTATCACATTTTGAAAAGGTTTTCCTTTGCATGTACATATTATGGTATATTCCCCAGGAAAATAATTCAGTAAATTTTAATCTAATTGTGACTATAAATCTACTATGGATATAAATACTGAATATGGACAAATTAAATGGGCATTCCAGCAAGTGATGCATAAGTAACATATTTTGATTAGCTTTAATGTTAGTAACAGGAATTAAGATTATATTAAGTAAAAGTATCTGACCAAAACTGATTACAAGAAAAAGTAGATAATTTATCCCTCAGATTGAATGTGATACGTGGAGACTATATGGACATCTTGATAACAAGGACAAAGTGGTTGATCATTTTTAAAAAAAGCTTTCTAGTTTAATCTACAGCCCTATGATTCCTTTATGGTCACCCAATCCAAATACAATTTAGATCCAATTATCTTGTTTTTGAGTTTAATTAAGGCCACTGAGATGCTACCACTTCCTTTGACTCAAAAGAATGAAGTCACATATAGTGATTTCACTTATAAAGATTTCAGAAGAAATGAGGTGCAACAGTTTAGACTGGACCAAACCCAAGATAAAGAGAATATAACTATAAATCATTTAGGCTTCAAAGGACTAGTGCTGTTTCTTAAAGTATTTTTTAATTATGAAGATATTATGGAGGAGCCCCTGTGATATCAAAGTCCTAGTTTTGATTAAGATTGTTAATCTGTCTCTTGCATTGTATTGTTTTAGATTGTAGAAGGCTGGAAAAATCTCACACAGCTAATTGGCTCAGAGGCTAAGACGCTGAGCTTGTCAATCGAAAGGTCGGCAGTTCAGCGGTTCGAATCCCTACTGCCGCGTAACAGGGTGAGCTCCCGTTACTTGTCCCAGCTTCTGCCAATTTAGCAGTTCGAAAGCATGTAAAAAATGCAAGTAGAAAAATAGGGACCACTTTTGGTGGGAAGGTAACAGCATTCCGTGCGTCTTTGGCATTTAGTCATGCTGGCCACATGACCACGGAGATGTCTTCAGACAGCACTGGCTCTTCGGCTTTGAAACGGAGATGAGTACCGCCCCCTAGAGTCTGGAATGATTAGCACATATGTGTGAAGGGAACCTTTACCTTTACAAAAAGCTGTCTTTTTATAAAAAACTCCCTGAAAGGCTTTTTTTTTTTTTTTTGTGCAGAGAAATTTTTTATTCATAAGGTGTCCTCAAAGCCCCAATTTTACTGAGAATAGATCTTTTTCCTGAGAGGGGTACAAGTGCCCAGTTATGGAACAGTCTATATTCTGTCTGAAGACAAACCTACCCTCGGAAGCTTCTTGGCTGATACTGTAACAAGTCTTTGAAGAGTTAAGTGGGGTGTTTATTTGCCTGTATCATAATGTTTAAATGCTGGTTTCTGAGAAAATTTATGAGTAAGATCTATGAACTCTTTATATTTTTTATAATTACTTCAAGCAGGAACATTTTTAGAGGCTATCTTGAGACTGTTGTCCCCAAATCCTCTATTGGCTTCTTGTTCACTTCTAAGACCAAGACAAAATAATTTTGAAATCTTAAGTGTCTTGAGTCTATATAGACTGAAGGACTATTTTTCTTGTTGAGAATTTATCACTATTTGGGTAATCTAGATCAGGATGTTGGCCTTGGCTTCCCTGGGAAGCTTAATTGATTTAACAAAATTCTGGTGAAATTTTATCATGTAATTCAATGAATAAGTAAAATTCAGTTGCTTTTATTTTTTATCAAATTGTTTGAATTCTTCTGTAAACTCAGTCGATTTTTAAATTTTATAAATTTGCAATGCAGTACTTTATTTAAAAATCTATAAAATGTAATTATAGCTCATTAGCCATTTTTTAAAAAAGTTACTACATATAACTCAGAGTATGCCTGAACACATGACAAAACAGTGTGTATGTTTCTGGGTGAATGAGGCCACTAAATTTTTAGTTTAGATAATTTGTTTAAGATGAAAAATATCCAATAGAAGTGAATCAATACTGCAACAATTAAGATTCTGAGAACCTTAAAATCCCATAAATTAAAGACGTCAGACAGAGGAGGAATATAAATTCATTTCTCTCTTAGAGGTCTGTTGAAATAGGCAAGTTTTGACTGCTTTCCTAAATCCCAATAATGTTGCTACAAGGTTAATCTCCAGGGGAATGCTATTTTAGAGATGGAGGTGGGGGCAATGGTGGGGAAATATTTATTATTTTAAGTAATATTCATTATTTTAAATATTACAGTGCATAGATATATATCTAGATCGATCGATCGATCGATCGATCGATAGATAGTATATAACTTAAATTAATGGTGAGAAAATACTCTCTCTCACTTTCTAGATAAACAGTATGTCACAAGAAAGCTGAATACGTTATTGCATATTTAGGTTTAGTAGATTTCACACCAAATCCTATTTTTTAATGTGATATTTTGGAATATTTCACCACTTGCTATAGAAAACATAATAAATCTCCTACTTACAACATTGGACAAAGTGAAAATGAATGAAAGGGATGAAAGCCTGTGACTTTCAGATGTTCTTGAACTACAACTTCCAGCCCTCCCCCCTCCCCCCAACAAGATCTATGATGAGGATACTGAGAGTTGTATAGTAGCTCAACAAACATTTAGAGACTCACAAATTCCTCACTCTCTGATCAAGAGCTAGGATCAAGAGCTATTAAGCAAGGTGTGCTTCTCTGTTCTATAAGCCAAAGTTTTGTAAATCTGTATATTTCACTTGATGGACTTTGAAATAATAAGGGAGAAGACTAATAATGTTTACTCTGATTATTGCTAGTTGTAGTACAAGATGCAGTCCTGTATCTATTGCTAGTCTCTACTGCCCTGGCGTAATCTAATAGTGATGTGTCTCTACAGATCCTCTTTAAAAGATAGAACTGTGTGCTGGATTAGAGAACCACTATTTGAATTCCTGACAAGGAAGGTAGTATAATAATACTTGCTGAGATAGGCGGCTATAGAAACCAAACAAATAAAATGTTATTTTCCTGACACCAATGCAGGGATTTGCTATTCCTTTCTGAATTTTCAGGCTAGTTTTCTATAGCCCAGCAATTACCTGGTGGTCTCCAGGTACTACTCAAGCCAGACCCTTTTAAGTGTTATCAGCCAAGGTTGGCTTGGTGCTGTCACCTGATCAACCACCCTTTCCATATGTGACAGGAATAAGAAAATGTATATTCATTTTCTTATGTTAAATGTATAGGAATGGAAAATGTATGACATAATATTTGTCACCCTGCATATTTTCCCCCTCCCAAGCAACCATTGTCCAAAATATGAATGGGAAAACATAAGTTTTACTAAAGAAGAGATAAGTATATTTTAGAGTTTCTGGAGTTAATTGCAGTTATGCATCCAAATATCATGTAAGTAGCAAACCAATAAGAATGATCATGCTGGGATGCAGTGATCAAATTTGGGGAGTGATTCTGCTCCAGCTTTCCCCAATCTAGTATTCCTCAGCGTACCTGAAGGTCAGCAGTTAGAAGAAGATTGGATTATATCAGGATCTCCATCGTACTGGATCTTCCCGTGGTGTTTGTGGGAATCCAGGTCTGACAGATAATTTCAAGTAAAAAAAAGAGAAGTGCATGAAGCAGCCAGTAAGGTCACCAAAAAAGAATGATGCTTCTGTTATTTTTCATTTGTAACAAGCAAGGAACTTTTCTATTGGAACCAAGTATTGTTTTGCAAAGACACACAATTTTCCATGATACATTGATTAGGATATACAAAACGAGGCCAGATCTATATGCTTATGGCTGTCAAGACTATACAGAATGGAAAGGTTGTTAGGAAAGACCTTGCCTCTAGTTACATTAACACAAAATATACCAACCCAGTTATAACCCTCTTCACAACAACGGCTTCTACTTTTGTTTTTGATAAACAATTAGACAGAAAAATACCAGTAATTTTTCAGCATTTTAAATGAATCTTTTAATTGAAAAGATCTTTTGAATCTTTTAAAAAGACTAGACGAAGCACAGCTTGTTTTGTTCCTTTTAGATACAGTATAGGCAGTCCTCGACTTATGACCACAATTGAGCCCCAAATTTATGTTGCTAACGAGACAGTTGTTAAGTAGAGCCTTGATAGTACAGTGGTTTAGTGCACCCTGTTATTAACACAGCTGCCTGCAATTTCTGCTGGTTCGAATCTCTCCAAGGCTCAAGGTTGACTCAGCCTTCCATCCTTTCTAAGGTAGGTGAAATGAGGACCCAGTTTG